GAGCAGTCAAAAAAGAATATCGTATCGTGTGAATAAACGGTTTTGAACAGTATAGCAGGTATAGCGACTTCACGCTCCAGGAGCGTCTAGTTTCTCTGAACAAAGCTGAACAACCCGAACTTCGGCAAATTGACCTCTTGTCCAAAGCGCAAACATACAACATAAAACCATATCAAAGGTACCGACGTCTCCACTAAAATCCCATTGAGAACATCCATGTTGCATTAGTACTGGACTACGGTCGTGGTTTGATTTGATTCTATAAATATTTTCAATTTGGAAGGTAATATATATTTCAAAGACAGAACTTTGTGCGAAGTTACCCGTTGTACGAGAAAAGCATGTAGCGTGTGTGTGACTTGTCTAGTCGGCATTATAAGTGCTTGATGTTTCAATGTTTTCCTAAGTTGTTGTTAAATCCGGCGCTGAACCTCACCAGGACAATGTTTTACAGTTAGGTGTTGTTCTTACTGGATTGTAGTATGCATTTCAGGCATTTGCTATCTTTTGTGCATTCGAGGTGCTTTCAGGCACATAACAGGCACATAACACATGGCTTATCATGCTTGTATAAGCACTTCAACAGTACAATATCTAACAGATAAAAAAATACTTACGAACTCATCTTTCCCATTGCRATTCATTTTTGGATCTTGAAGGAGTAAACAGAGTGATGATTGTTGTAGCACGATACTAGTTTCGGTTACACAAGATCCTAACTCAGAGGTCCCAACGGCATGCAACGGGGAAATGACTTGAGTTGGGTTTCGATCAGGGCTTTGTAACACACGTTTGCGGTCACACGCAAATAGAAAACCATATAGTGAAGTATTGAGCATCGTATATCAAAGTATCGAATTGAAAATTCAACGGRAACTTTGTAACCATGGAGTTAGATCGTAAAGTATTTGTGTTAATGTCAGTCGTTCTCTTACTTGTTTTACAACCCCCAGCACATTCCAACTCGCATTTGTATTTCTTATTGAGACGAAGAAGAAAAACTACAACACTACAAATTCAATCTAACGGAATTTATATTAATATTTGAAACCAACAGCATTTTACCATTCTTTTACGAGGTAATTTTTAAATTACCTCGTAAAAGATTTAAAAATGCTCAAATCTGTGGGTTAATACTCACAGCAAAGCGAAGAAAGTATAGCTATATTATTATTCGATGCGAAGACTGATTAAGTATGATATTAAAAGGTCACGTAAGAAAAAATAACAACATGCGATTTCCTGTGTGTGGGTTTTTTTTCGTCTTACTCAAAGTCAAAGCTTGTCTAATCGCGAAAAATAATGACCGCTGTGAGCGGGCATTACAGGAAAATTCCGACCGGTCATTATCTGTCAACAGCCAATCAGAGCGCGCGTACTATCTAAGCCATATAATAAAAGCTTTTAGCAGTCGTCAAAACGATTTTAATGTTGTTGTTTTTAGTGGACATCTTTTCTACATTGGATCCCAACGCCTTTCATCATTTTTATTTGGCAGCTTTTTGTGTCGGGGATGTGTTGAGGAGCTTTGATGGTCACTTTCTCCCACATGAAATAAGAGCAGGACTTAAAACTTTTCTAATATATCTTTTAGGAACAACATGGGTTACAGAAATTGTATGGCAAATCTACTTTGACGGGAGTATTGATAACAGGCCTATAGGAGAAAGAGTACCATATTTGGAAGAGATGGAAGAAAAAGCAATGARGCAACTACATGATTTTTATGTACAACATCCATCACCACGTATATTTAAGGTTCATTTACCATATGATAAAGTACCCATGAGAGATAGCGATGGCAACAAAGCCAAGTACATCTACATTGCTCGTAATCCTAAAGACACAGCCGTGTCTTTTTATCATCATTACAGGGGATTTAAATTGTATGAGTTTGACCCTGATCGAACATGGGACGAATTCTTTGATATGTTCATCAATAACAGAGGTACTTGTACTTAGCGATTAATCATGAACTGACTGGGATGTTTATTGTAATTGTTATTTTCCTGGGAGTAATACCTTACTAAAAGGAGTAAAGTTCTTTGTTGAAGATCCTTAAAATGACGAGTCTATATAAGTGATCTACATCGTCTGAGGCAATAAAGAAACGGATTAATGACAAGAAAGARCATGCTAAAATTAGTACAGCTGCACAGTTTATGAAGAATTGTTTTTCAATCGCAGTGCGAGCTTCATCCTGCACAAAAATTTCGAAAATAATATCTTGTATACAAATTTCTTGTTTAGTGCATTTCTAAGTTCAAAATCGGTTCAAAATGACGTTCCTATTATACCCCTGGTTCCAGAGGTTTTCTCTTCTTTTACAGATGCTTTTTGTTTGGTATATATATATATTTATCGTATTTTTGTCTTTCCTTTTTTAAATAATCTAACAACTCAAGAAGAAAACCTCTGGTCGGGACCGTTGAGAATCTCACTTTCATGCCACCTGCTTCGAATCGGCGTTTGTGATTGGAGGAAATATTAAATCTCTAAAGCAGYAATATGATTGGCTAGAAAATATATCCCTGGGGTGTGCATAATTTTTTTTTCTTCTAATTGGCTGACAAAAAATGACATATTTGACAGCAGTTATCTGAAGCGGGTGGCATGAAATAAAAAAAAAAGTGAGATTCTCAACGGTCCCGACCAGAGCCGTTTTTTTCTTGCGTCCTTAAAAACAACTACTGAAGAAGAGAAAATCTCTTGGAGGATGGTACGTTCCTATAAAATCTTTGTTACGCACGAACGTGTGCATGAAATTTGCCTTTGTCATGGGTCCTATGGTTATAAGAAATGATTTGTTGTTTTTCAGTCAATAACGGCAGTTGGTTTCATCACGTGCTTAGTTGGTGGGCTCATCGAGATGAAGAYAACGTCCTCATTCTCAAGTATGAAGACATGAAAAAGGCAATCCAAKATACTCCTCATAAATATTTATACAATCCCTTAAATCATTAATCATGCAGGTTCTCTTTTATTTCTTCAAGCAACGGGTTGTTGCAGCTAATGCCACAAAAAGCAATTCCTCTTTCACTTTGAGGAAAAAACGTAGTTTTAGCATGCTGACCACACCCCACCATCCCTCACCCTCCCCCCGCGCCAAAAAAAAAAACAGAAATAATTTTATCATTGCTCGCTAAATGCTTAACAGTGAATCGCCTTATTGTATTATCATCCACTGTTATTAYTCTTGTATATTATCTATATTTATATTTTCTATATATTTTTTTTTAAAGTAGCTGTTGGCTGGCTGATTGATTGATTTTTTTTTTCAGGACCCTTATGCTGCCGTACAAACAATCGCTAAATTCCTCTGTAAAACTTTATCTCCAGAGGTGCTTGAACGTATCACGAAGCAAACAAGTTTTTCATCGATGTTTGACGGAAAAGTCCGATTTTATGATACCGAGGCTTTGAAACCGCRCAGAAATCCAGATTTTAAATTCTTTCGCAAAGGTCAAGTGGGAGACTGGAGGAATTATTTCACCGAGGAACAGAATGTACGGCTCGACAAAATCTATCATGAAAAACTAGAAGGAAGTGGACTGCAATTTGAATTTTGAAGACTGAGTAGGAATATTCTCTCTATTACAAAGTCAAAATTTGCATTTAATCTTTCATGGATTAGTATATTTTGCTTATGCTAGCAATAGAATTATACATAATATACAGAAATTAGTAAACTCTGAACAATCCATAGGATATAGAGCCAATGATAGCGCAAGGTATATAATACTTGTTTGCAGTTTCAATGTAATAAACCCATTACCTCTCTTCCCTAGTGAATTCAAAACCCTCCCCGGGTTTTAGAACTTTATAGATTGTGTGAAATAAAGAATGCTTCAAAATAAAAGGAGAGTATACATTAGTTAATAATTCAAGGATGTTACATCGGCGCTCGGAAACATTCAACTTTTGCGACAATGAATGTGTAAATTTTCACTAGTGAAAGCTAAACCCGATCGAAAGATACAAAAATAAGTATTTCATGGATGATTATACGATAAATAGAGGATATTAAATGGACACGCAGAGATAYGGATTTTATCGTCGATTGATCTATCAAGAGTGAGCGTGTGAGTGAGTGTGTTTCTCACTGTCTCCGTTAATAGAGTCCATGTTATCCCCTGAATATACGAAAGTCGTATTTTTTTTCATTTTCTTTTAAAAAATTAGCAAAGTCTTATTCTGCAGAGACTTCTACAAATCTATTAGCCTGCATATTTACTCAGTGAACAAGCGAAAAGTAGAATTATTTCATACTT